ACAATGATCATGTTGCAGCTTCCAGAATCAAGCTGCGTGATTCTTCACAAACATACTTGAAAAAAGTATTCCTGTGTAATTTGTCTACTGTGAGCAAGGTGGGCGTTGCGACTCTGAAATGCCTTATGACGTCGGTGGATTTGCAGGGCTTTATACGTAATGATTGCCTATGCTCACATTACCCTGCCTTCACCATACTCCTGATGCAAATCCTCCAGGCAGATGCATACGTCAGCCAACTCTCGCCCAAATATTTATTCGATCCTAGCCTCTGCGGGCCGAATAGCACTGAACCGAGTTTTTCTATAACTGGACTGGATGGAAGATTTAATATGGTAAGTGAATCAAATATGGACACGCTAACGTGGTCAAAATAATGAAAATTTTTTATTTATCTTTCTAATTGCATTAAATTTGCAGGTTGATAACACACGTAATGGTTATAATGAGAAAAAAATTTTAGAAGACCATAGAAAATTATCTAGGAGTTTTAAAAGGTTATTTTAAAATGTCTGCAAGTGGCTATTTTAAAAACACCTATTTAGTATGGTTACCTGTTACTGTTTTAAGACTATTTTAAGGTTTAAGGAGAATGTAAACACATATTTTTGTAAAATAAATTGCTATTGTGAAATGGTTAAAAATGTTTTATTAAATTAAATGCGATACAAAATTATATTAAAATTTTTTTCGGTTTTAATCATTTAATGACATGGTCACTTAATAACCATATTAGGAATCCACGTTGTTCGGTTTTTTCAAGTGTAAATTACTATCATCTAGAGCAGGAGTGTCCAACCCGCAGGCAGCATGCAGCTCGAGGCAAGTTCCAATGCAGCCCAATAAATGTGTAAACAAAACCGACAAATGTTTTAAATTTTTATTATTTATTTATTTCAACCGCATAAACTCAAAAAAGAAGTTTCACAAAGTCGTAAACCTTCATTCATATTTTATTTTTGAGTGGAAAAGAAATATTTTCAAATACTGTACTTGGAGATGTGTGAATGAAAAAGAAATACTAAATAAAGCTGGAGTTGTGACTCAAAAAATTATAGACCCATATTTGAAAAAGGAGAGAAAAGATAAAAGATAAAAAGTAGTGATAAAGGTTAAATAGATCTTTTGTTATGAAAATATTGACCCTTAATTTTCCAACATTTCTCACTTCTTTATCTTTTGTCCTTTCTCTCCTTTCCCGGCATTTGGGTCTATAACCCACTGAGTCAAAACTCCAGCTTTATTTAGTATTTCTTCAACTGTACAAGATTTGGCTACATTGCGCCAAATGTGGCTACGTTTTTTTTTCTTGACGTAAAAATAATCATTCGGCGCTTAGACTACTTTTTTTGGCTACATATTATTTATAAATATATTAGTTGAATAAAAATGCGCTGTAAAATGGTGCTTTATTATTAATTACAGACCCAAATAAAACAAATATTTGTATTTTTCAAATAAATTTTCGTTTGTCTCTTTTAGATAAACAAGATAATAAATGAATTTATCTATTTCTAAGTAAAAATTAAAAGTGCCTGTAGAAGTAATTTTTTAAAATATCCTTTTTCATGATAATACTTTTAATACTTATTATTATAATTTACACATGTTAGTCCTTAAATATACTTGTATATTCAGACACAGGTATATATTATATAGGCCTATACTTGTGGCCCGAAACTCCTTGACTTCTTCCAGTGCGGCCCAGAGAAACAAAAAAGTTGGACACCCCTGATCTAGAGAAACACCAGCCATATTAGCAGACCTATGAGTCGCTCAGTTTTTTGGTCGTTCCTACGAGCTTAATTAAAAAGATATGGAACTGATAAAAAAAACTCAACATGCTGGTTTAGCCCGGAAAATGCCAGTTTAAGTGAGGTTATACACATCCCTCTCTAGAGGGATTAAAAAAAAACGAACGAGTTTTCATTGTACAACTGTGAACCAGTCAGCATTATATCAAAACCTGCGATTATGCGTTTAATTTCTTCATTTTGTAGATTTACCAGTGGCGAAGCGGTCTTCGTGCCTTGAACACTGGGAATTCGGTCGTGGGTTCGCGCCTCGCTCGGACGGGCTGGCCACGTGGTTTCCGGGGTTCTCCACGTCTGTAACACCTAAATAGGGACCAGTGTCCCGGAGGGCATCCCCTCGGCAGATCGCCCAAGTGTTGCGTTGCCATAACTTAATAGCAACATTATCATNTGGGACAATTGTCAATCTTAAATATTAATTAGTTATGTTATTGCATTAATTAATCGCTCAGGTCTTTTTTGTGATCAAAAAATAAACAAAAAAAAAATTCAAAAATAAAATTATTCTCATGCGTAATTCTAAGCAAGTTCTGTGATTAGCGTGACGTAAGCACGTTTCTAATTGTTGCTTAAACAATAGATAGCAATAATACATTTTCGGCCATTGTCGAAGCGTTTGTTCGGTGCTATTAAATAAGATTAATGAGTAAGTACAGTACATTTTTATTCTATAATTATATTAACTGTTTACTAACGTGTCGAAAATAAATACAGAAACATAAAATTAAAAGTAATTTTCGACCAGATGTTTAAAAATCCCAATAGAATGATATAGAATTTTAAGAACGGCGAATATTCTTAGTGCCATTAACGATATTTAACTTTGCATTCATTTTCTGCTTGAGACAATTACATCATTAAACGTATTTTCTTCAAATAAATAACAATTTATTATTTATATCCAATATCTTAATATTGAATTCTATTAATAAACATTTAGTCATTTATTTCACCGGGAATAACTCTTTAGTAAAANAAGTCGTTAATTGTCTTGTAGACATTATAACGAAAAGTTGCAGTGAAAATAATTTCATAAACGTAAGTTAAATTCAATAAAATTATTTTAATGATATCATAGCATGTTCTTAACGTTAAATCACATCGATAAGTTCCGAAATGTATGCTTAAATTGACTACAAGTATAATTATTCCATGTAATAGTACTAGGAAAACGCGCGATTTTGTCGTATCGCGATAGAATTAGAGCTGAGCAGGAAGGAAACAAGCGATCCCTGCACCTGTTAGGCACAGAAGATGTCATGTATTTACACCATGTATAAAGATCAATTAACACTAGTACGAATTTTCTAAGAATTCTTGTTATTNTCTATTAATAAACATTTAGTCATTTATTTCACCGGGAATAACTCTTTAGTAAAACTGCATATCAATTCTTCAATTTACGATTGTAACAATTTACACTTTCCAGACAATTAATAATGTCAAATCACAATGTAATATTTATGACTGAAATAAATTGACTTTTGCTAAATTCTTAGTATTATTGCTGTGGATTTTCAATGGATAAAATTTACAAAATATATTCCTACAATGAGAATTTCATCTGTTTATTTGGTGTAAACCGTTCGTCATTTCCTATATCTCTTTCAAATTCTTACATAATTATTAAATTCACGCGAAAAATCTCTTACGAATTGCTGTGTTTGATGCGTTTAGTTTTATTCTTTAGTTTTTAATAATCAAATGGAAATACGTGAATATTCCGATTGTGACAATAATGTTAGTGCAGAAAATGCGTTCACAAATACAGTGAAAGCAGTCCTGCAACTGACACGTGATATCAATGCTGATTTTCCAGAAGAAACAGAATTATCTTCTGTAAGTTCAATTCAAAATAATTTAATAATTCTCATCATCTAAAGGTTTAAAACTGAAAAACACAACACGAGAAATGCACAATTTGTGGAAAGTGTTGATTGTAATAGCTGCAAATTCTTTATTAATTAATAAATGATTTTTCCGACTAATAAAAGAATATTTCGACTACTGTAAGATTATTCTATCAGGAATGGAAACTTTTCACTTTTTAAAAAATTTCGATGATGAAGAGGAGGGTCCTTTTTGGTTTTTGGAAAGTACTCGATGTGAAATAAGACCATTGAAAACAGAACTTTTATTTTTAGAGAAGCATTCATTGGTCAAAAAAATAACATATGAAGAAAACGATGAAGTGGAGGAGTTGGTTGAAGGTGAGGTTACAAAAAAATTATAAAGAATTATAAAATCATTTGTTAAAAATTATTTTAAAATCTTTTAATGATAAACTCATTCTGTTTGAATCTATTTAATTTATAAAACTTAATATTAGTTATCCATTTGCACTCTTTCACGTGTGTTGTATGTCGTAGTTTATTATATTCGAAACAATTCAAAAATAGATCATTCATTTCTACAAAGATTACATTTATTTCGTCAAAAACACTTTTGAATTCGGTTTTTATTCAACTAACAATTTCAACCACATTATAAAAATACTCAGCGGTAAACATCATTAATTAGGAGTAAACCAACAAACAAAATAATTGCAACAAACTCGATCTTAACATTGACGAAATGATTCATTGACTTGGCCACTTCTCGTATGAAATTTAATTGAAAATTAATTTATTATCCTTCAAAGTATATGTCGAGAAATTTCCAATGATTTTAATATAATTGAATGAATTTTATTTTTCTGGCTGTTATAATATTTGACTTGGAAGTTTTTGGAATGGTTGTGACACGTCCGAACAGAAAAAGTAAAGAAATGAAATAAGGATGTGCGTGTATTTACGTCTATTTCGTTTAATATCACTGAATAGATAAATATTACAAACTGAAATTTGCACGGTAAATCGTTTAATAAGGGGCATCGTAGACATTTAATTTTGATGGCAGAAGGGAAAAAATAGAAGTGGGTCACCCATCACGTCTCAAGCATAATGAGTGTTTATAAAGATTTTACACGCTTTTAGCTCTAACAAATTTGTATACAACTCGTCCCTATTTTCAAACTTAAGCTTTCTCCGCATTCTTTGAGTGTGTGACGTAAACAAATAGTGTATAAACGTACAATAAACGCTTGTAGAACTCAGACATCGAGGACTAAATTCGAATTCTATTGAAATGTAACACGAAACTTGTATATAATTTTTTGTATATAAATTTGTTGGAATTATAATTTCCGACATCCGGTGTAATTAATAAAAGTCGTAGTCTACGCCTGTATCCAAATACACTTAAAAAACAGACAATTCGTAAAAGGCACGCAGAGATCTGTATTAATATTGAGTGTATTATATTTTTGATCCTCTAATTTATTTACAATGAAAGAAATCCGGTTTGACATTTACTTACATAGTAATTATATTGCATTACCTCACTGTTTACACAATAATTTTACTTTCTAACTTAATGTACAGTTTATATAGAAATACAGATATATATTTCTACATAAACTTATTAGACTGATGCATTTTTTATAATGAATGTGTTTGAATAGGTGTAGGCATTACGATATAAAATTATATAAAGCTAAATTCTCAAATGATTTTTATAGAAGAGAATCAAAACAAAGAGATGACAGGAAGAAATAAACAGATGAAAAAATTAAGTCGATTGGATAAAAGAAGAAATAATGATGATAGATTTCCATACAAAAGTAAATCGGATGATGATGATAAAGTAAGAAAATATTTTCTAACTTTGCCTAATTTACACTTATGAATTCATTGTCGTTTCTCGCTGAATTTCAATTTCAATATTATTTTGATATTTTAAGACTCGTTTTCTCTCTTGTATTCACAATGATTCTATACATTCTGGTTACTTTACCTTCGTAATATTATTTTTCAACAAACATTGTAATTTGAACCTGCTGTTAATTTATCTTCATCTTTTATTTACGAAACATTTTTATTATTTGCAGGAAAAGACCAAATATTTCGATGTTTTTGTGGATTTTTTCCGCAGATTTCCATCTATCATCTGCTCCTGTTTAAAAAGAAAAAAGTAAAATGGCGGAATGTACATTATCGTTACATTCCGTTTAGCTCAAAAAAAGAAAAAAAGTTATAGGTTTTTTAATATTAGAAAAATTTATTGTTCTTACAATTATAACGAAGGCACATTACAAAATTATTTGGTCCAAATATCTGGTGTGCAACTTTCATCGGCAGGCGCCATCGTATTATCTGCTCTATACTTTCGGCTGAATTATTAATGCTTAATAAAAACAGAGCGAAGGATAATTTCTAATACATTCGTGGAGATGTCATTAAAATGTTATCGAAGGTTATCAGAGGAATGTAAGCGAAAGACATAACAAGGAATTGACAAGGTGTTCCTTCGTGAAGACATAATCACCGTACTTGTCTCTGCAAGGGAAGAAACCAAGAAAATGGCAATTGAAATAGTAAAACAGAAATCTGTTAGCCTTCGATAATAGTTCGATTAAATAACAAAATGAGGAATCGTGGCACGAGAAATGCTATTTTTCGTGAAGATAAAAGCGTCTTTTTAATGAAATCTTTAAGGCATCTGCAAAATTTTTTTTAATTGAAACAAAGAGTTACATCCAATTGATCTGAAAGAATGAAATTTCTGTTTAAATTTGAGAAATAGAATTGGATTGCATACCGTTTAATATCTATTCATATGTTTTACTTCATGAAAGTATTTGATCTTAGATTTATTGTTATTAATTTTAAGATTTATGAGCTTGATTGCAACTAAAAGTAATTAATCTTTGTGTTGTTTTTTTCACACAATAAATTATTGTGCCTTTGAAGTGTTTACTGTTCAATTTATTATAAAGTATCTCCGAAAAATTTTAAAATTTATTCCACGAAATATAAACAAAAAATGATAAGACACTTTTTTGTATACAAATATAATAATAATTTCAGTTATTCGGGTGTGTAGAGCGTACGAAATATATGACAGTTAAAATTTGTTTAATGGTATTGTAATATATTTTTCGTAAAATAGTTCACATACACATTAAACACATACAATATTACATTTACATTAGTATACACTAAAAACTAAGAATTAAGTATGTATATTTTTTACCGTATTGCACTATTCACTAGTCGTTTCTGACTTTTGGAGGCTTAATAAATCCCGAGTATGTAAACTGGTATAAAAATTGAGAAAGAGGTAAACAGGTTAACATAAAGAAAAATACTTTTATTTTAATGAATATACTTCACCCCAAATGCATTTCGCATGCTAAGGCCTCTTCAGTAGAGTTTCTTACAACCAGAATGCACAACAGGAACGAAATCTGCAAACGACACATCTTTCTCAGTAGAAGATACAACAGAAGACACTTAAACATCCACGAAAGACACATCTTTCTCACTAGTACCATCGCGTTTACAATCCTTAAATAACACTAACTCTTCCCAGCATTCCGCTGGCATCACTCCATTATTCAAATTCATAACATTACTTTCCATAATTATTGCAAAATGTTCTTTAAATTTTCTCTGAACTATATTTTTTTTCCTTATGTATTATTTTTACATTATTAATATCCAATTGACAATTATTTACGTGACAATGCAAAACAACCGGGAATGTATTAATTTTATTTCGTATTGCAGCCAAATGTTCCGACATCCGCACCTTAATTTTCCGCTTCGTTTCTCCTACGTAATAATACGGTACTCCACACGTACATTGAAGCCTATAAACTACTTTTTCTTCTTCTAAAAAATCTTTTTTTCTGTAAGATTCAGTTTTAATTAATTCAGATAATCTATTTTTGTTTTGGAATGGAGCCAATTGTATTAAATTTTCACAAAAAGTTTTTTTATATTTTTCGAAAATACCTTGGATATATGGAAAAGAAACATACTTTTTACTTTCTTTTTGTTGCTTTACTTGAAATCTTCTTTTTGAATATTCATCATACCAGTTCCTCAGCAATCTTTTCGGATAATTGTTCAACAAGTACTTCTTATTTATTTTTTTGAGTTCTTCTATTCTTTTTTCACTTCTGGTTGTTCTAGAAAATATCTTTTTTACTTCCATTAAATAAATATTTCTTTTTTGATTAATTGGACAATACGATCTAAAATTTATAACTTTATTTGTGTTACAAGGTTTTTCATACCTACTATACTCCAAATGATCTTTAAACCTGGTTATTGTGATATCCAAATAATTTAGACTATCTAATTTTTCACACTCATAGGTGAACTTAATATGTTCATTAATTTCATTAGCTTCTTTTAAGATTTTTTCTGGTGATGTTATTTTACTATTATAAATAATAAATATATCATCGACATACCGTGCCAGAAAAACTATTCCACCTAAGTTCAGCAACGTTTTATCTATATTTTTCATAACAATCTCTGCCAGCTTTGGGCCGACCACCGAGCCCATGGATATTCCATCCTTTTGTCGAAAGTACTCGCCTTTAACTGCAAAGAAATTGTTTTCCAATACAAATGTTATTAATGATATTAAATGTAAAGGGGTGTTATACTCACTTAAACTCTGTATAATCATTTCTTTTGT